AGAATTAGGTTAGGGATGTGTGGTAGATGAATTTAGTTTAGGTTAGGGATATTAATTTTATAAAAATATTAATTAAAATAAAATATCTGATTTTGGAAATGTGAAACTTCCAATCTGATTTTGGAAATGTTGATACATAAACTAGTGTTTTGTGTAATTTCCACAAATTCATATATCAGGAATAAAGTATAACTCGAGGCCCTGTTTCATCAACATTATTTTTTTTCAATCTCATTCTTCTACTCATTTTCAACCACACATTTTTCAATAAAATAATATTTTCCATTACATCAATAACATTCCTTCTTTTTCAACCATATATACCACATCACATCAACAGTAAAAATGAATTCTTACCTTCAAAATGTAAACAGACAGGGGCTCAATTCAAAACTCAGGCAATAAGTTTAAAATTTCAAATCTCGGGTAATAACTAAATAATTAAAAATATTTTATTAATTAAATTTAATGTCATAGTTATATAATTAATTATCACAATTACAAACTTATAGATCACAACTAGTTATTGGTTACATATTGTCGAATTAATTGGTCACAAAATTTATTTATTGGTCCCAAATAGGGATGGCAAATTGGCTCGTCGACTCTACTTGGAAAAAGCTCGAGCCGAGCCGGCTCGTGGCTCAGTGGGTCCGAGCCCCATTTTGGGGCGTCACTCGAGCCGGCTTGGTCCGTGAGCCTAAAAAAGAAAAAAAAAAATTTCCTGCCACTTCTTTTTTAAATTTTAAATTTTAATTTTAGCTGTATTTTTTTATGTGTTAATATTTAATTATTATTTATAATACGTATAAATTACACAAATTAAATTTTTTTAAAAAAACTTTAGATTTGTCACGATTTTTTTTTTTTTAAAACTGAGCCGGCTCGCCTCACTAAGGCTAGAGCCGAAAATTCGGGTCGAGCCTAAATTTTTTGGCCGAGCTTTTGCTTGACTCGGTTCACGCCAAAAAAAGCTCGAACTATTTTTACTCGAGCCGAGCCTGAGCAAAAAGTTTTGGTTTGCGGTTCGGCTCGTTGACACCCCTAATCACAAATTACATTTTTTTAGATCACAACTTAATTAACGATCACAGACTTTCAAAATAGTTAGTGACAAATTAATTTTCATTCTCGAATTATGGAATTTTTATGCCACAATTAAATAGTTGGTCAAATGCACTTACAAGTTGTGTTATAATTTCTATTTCTTATCATTGTTCAATAAACAAAAAAGTACATTTTTAAACCAAAAAAATGATCTATTAATTAGCTAGAATAACCTCTAGGATTTATTTACAAATATTCATCAAACATGCTCTCAATAACAATTTTTTACTTTCAAAAATGATTAGTCGAGTGGCAATGAAAAACCTGCAAATTCATGTCAAGAAAATGCCATAAAAAAGAGAGTGATATTCAAGTAAATGTGATCCAATAGGTCTTGTTTTAGCAAGGAGAGAGCCCTGATCTAAACATGGTTGAATTTATAAATGAGTTCAACAACCACCTAAAGAAATTAACAATCTCCATTTCTAATGAAAAAGAAGGACAAATTACAATGATAGAAATTAACAATCTCCATTGTCTCGAGATTTCAACCCTATTCACAAGCCAATTTGGTGTCAAAGCTGCTCAAGCAGATTGCGAATGCCTGAAAAGCAGATAATGGATACCGGTAGTCCATGGTGAACATATCTTTACCGACCTTGCCAAACTGGAGGATGATTTTATCGTGGTCCGACGACTGTGATGGTTGAGATGTCGTTTGCACATTAGTGGTTGGTTGATTGGCTGCGATCAACTGAAAATTCTTGACCGATGCAACTGTCACCCGCCCTCGGAAATTGAGGCACCAGCACTGTAATTGTTCGTGCCATCTGGGAGACTTGTTCTTGAGAATCAGTGGTCCTGATTTACTATTATTGTCCTCATTCTCATTGGCCAACCGAGCAATATCAGAGAATCGTGAGCTGCTAAACTCAGTAGATTGATCAAGAGATTTTGAGAAGGAGATGCTCCGAAATGAGTCTTCGAGGGGCCTCTGAAGAAGCTCGGGTTGTCCAGGTACTACCCCACCGGGTTCAAGGGACGAGAAGGGAATTGAGTGCATCATGCAGTGCATTCTCCGGGGACCCCGTGTCCCAAGAACATTCAGCTCATATGTAATTTGGGCTATGTTGTAGCTGCCAGTTGGTACTTTTGGAGAAACTTTCTTGGAATAGAATCTACGACTTGTTTTTCCAGGTGGAGGGATGTGTGAACAAGTATGTGGAGGCTGTGTATCATATATTATAAACTTCGTACCAAGAAAATTTGATCTGCAAAAGGCAGTAAACTTTTCAAGTTAATATTGAGAAACTCTACATCAATTTTGGGGGTAAAAGCAACAAAATTAATAACTCTGTATCAAAAGAAGTAAATCAGGGATATATACTGTCTCAAGAGGTAAGAATATAACAAAACGGGAAGACATGCATGCAACAATATTGAAAATCCTTTTCTGCAGAAACCAAGCACTAGTTGTACGAAAAAACTAGATAAATTCCTTTCATTCCCTCAAAAGATCTGTTTAGAGATCTCCCCTAACAAAAGATCTGTTTTTTAATTTTTTTCAAACTACTAAATAAAGCTATTTCATCTTACGCATTTCAAATACCCACAGGATCATGTTCAATTTTCAAATAAACTGAGAAAAAAATGGATATTTTCCCAAGTTACTAGATTGGAATTCCAAGCGTGGAATAACTCATAATTTCCCGAGTAAAATAAAGCCTCTGGTTAAGATTTTTCTATAAACAAAGGTAATTTATGTACTAAACCTCCCATTGAAAATTATATTAGTTTCTCAAGAAATTATTATGTAATCTGGAAAAGGAAACACACAAAAATGTGATATGCATAAAGATATAACAAAATTTTCATTCAATTCTACCTTAGTTTCCCGATATACGTGCTGCTTGATCTAGAAATGTTATCTGCATCCATGGAGATAACATACTCTGTACAAGTAGTTCGACGAGTTCTTTTTGCAGAGAGAAGGAACTTTCCATTTTCAACTAGCAAAGCTGATACAATTAAATTGCAACTTGCATTAGAAGAGTGTAATCAAACGGTTTTCAAGTGCAAAGATTGAACAGTTTCATTTCACGACAGGCAAAACTAATAAGAAAACTGTGCATCTGTATATTTCTATGCAGCATTCTTCACAACTGTACGGAATCAAATATGCAGTTGCTTGACAGAAAATTGATGACAAAATATGACCTATTATGCATACTGAACGAAGAACTACTACTTCGGAATGAAAAATAATATTTGCAGCCTGTTTGTTTCAAATTTTTAAGCTCATTTTAATAAATTTTCCTACCGTTGCAAATCTAAGCAGCCGTTTTTATTTTTATTTTTTTGACTTTTTATCTCACAATGGGACCCACGTGTTGGAAAAATAGGGTAGAAAAATTAATTCTTGTTGACAAATAATGGGAAACAAACGGGGGCTTGAAATATCAATGCCTGAACATTTATTTCAGCAATTCCTTTTCCTTCAAACTACTTAACCAAACTTTAGTTAACTTCATTAAGAAGAAAAGAAAGTACAAATGCAAAATTGCAAGAAGAGAAATTTCCATGATAACAAATAGAGCACATAATCGTAATCATTGCTAAATCAAATACTGAACAACTTACCGGGACTAAGACACAGGTAAAGACGATATGTTAAATTAGATTTGTCCCTCTTAATGAAGCACTGAACAGTTCCATCACGAGGTCCTGGCTGTAAAGAGAAAAAAGCTAGATTTACTATTTGTTCATGTAGAATTACTGAATGTGGTATTTGTAATGTCAATGCACATGTAATCTAGTGAGAATAATGTGTACACAAACAACACTAGTTGTTAATAGAACAATCATGAACAGGCCGAAAGCATGATAGACGGTAGGAATTAGGAAATAACCTGCTTTAAGGAAACGGGAAAAGTAAGTTTCCCGCATAACTCTAGACTTTTGACAATATCCTTGCACATAATCCTCCATGATCTGCAAACAGCAGCGCATGCAACCACATTTTTTCGAGCAGGCCATGTACTCTCACTCTCTTCCAACCTTCTAACCACATCAAAAAGTAACTCTGGTGGTAGATTGGCCCATCGACTATTCTGAATTACCAAAGGTTGGTCATTCAAGTCAGGGAATGAACCGTGTGATTTTCCCCTGTGATGACCAATCAGCCTTACATCAAAACTCCGCCGGGATAAACTCCCAAAACTGTCTCTTATATCACGAGCTATACTGCGGAACGACATTAATCCCCAAACTGCTAAGTAGAAAATAAATGGCAGAAGCTTTCCTGCTCCTTTATATCGTATAAATCTTTTTCCAATATTTTATGGCTTCCCTACAAATGAGCAAAAGTGAATTTCAGAATAAATAAATGAATATCTAAGAAGATACGAGGAAATGAAGAAGAGAAAAGATATGTACAAAGAAAAGAGAAGAGAGGAACGGAAAAAGACAATTCCATGTATAGTTTAAAGCAAGTCGATCACGAAACTATGCATTAGATACAACTTCTCTAGGTTCTCAGCAAACTTAGTTTCCATTATTTCACTAGCAAAAGAAAAAATAAAGAAAAAACCAGCTAATCAAGGTCTACTTTCTGCAGATAAACCTTGTCAAGCCTCTTATATATCCAGAGACAGAATCAGAAAAAAGAAATTTCAAACAAAGATCTAACATCTGCAAGACTTCAGCATTTGAGCTGTGTGCAACCTTAGTCTTTGTGGCAAAACATTGTCTAAACTAATTTTGTTCAGGTGAAAAATACTTTATACTGTCCCCAAATGAATAAATGTCAACTGCAAAGGGAGCTAAGGGATGAATTGCAAGATCGTTTACGAGAATATAACTTTTAATCAAAGAAACCCGAGGACACTATTCCGAGCTTTGAATGCAGTTCCTGACCTAAAATTTTGAGGTGCATAAACACTAAACTCTACAGTGAAAGAAAATTAGCAAAATAATAATCATGTAAAACAACATATCCTCACGGGTACCTAAAAGCAGATAACCTGCTAAAAGGGGAAAAAAAAACCAAAAATCACATAAATTGCTTTAAAAAATCTCAAGTTTAATTTCCGAAATATGTAAAGCCGCAAAATTTTATAAGTCACCCTTCATTAATCACCAAAAACAAATTAAAAAAATAGAAGGAAAATTTTGAAATTAGACGCCATAGAGCAAACCCCAACTTAATCCACGAGATTTTCAACTCGTTTTTTCGCCAAAAAAACAACACAAAATTTCAAGAAATGGAAGCCTCAAAAACATAATAAATCATGAAATATTTGAAGATGCCAAAAAATGAGATCAAAGATTCGTACCTCAGAAGCACAAAATCTGGAAACCCAAGTCCACTGCAGTATATATGCGTGTTCTGACCAAAAATTTCAAAGAACTTCACGAGCAGATCGAGAGAAGAAAATATGGATCAAACCTCAGATACACGTAACAAAATACACAGACAAACCAGCTTCTTTTTCAAATACTCGAAGAGAGTGGAGGAAAATCTCATCCGGGCTCTTAAGATTGGATTAAATCTAGTTCAAAGAACCAGAGAGAGAGAGAGAGGGTAAGGAGAAGAGGTATTAGAATAATATAAAAAATAAAAAGGAAACAAAAGTCTCTGAATACTTTATCGGTGTTTGGTTACTTCGTGGAATAATAAGGTTTATTACAATATATATTGACCAAAGACATTGCCTGGAACCAACTACCCAATAGCCAATTCTGACCATTTCAATTTTGATTTTCCGTCCTTTTGTAAGTAAAAATAATTGGACAAAATACAGACCTTTGACTTCCAGTCTTCCACTATAAATTTTCATTTTTCTACTCATTTTTAATCACATATTTTTCAATAAAATAATATTTTCAATCACATCAATAATTTTCATTCTTTTTCAATCACACATTCTCCATCAATTTACTGTTCCAAAATGTATTCTTCCAAAATAATGTGACTCAAACACACTATTATTTTTTTTTATGAATGAGTAAGATGCAGCTTGGGTTATTATTGAGTTCTTTTTAGGAAAATAATATTGAAATAAAATTACTCGAAATAATTATTGATTCAATTCATTTAGAACCGAATCAATTTTGAATAATAAATTCACAACAGGGTTTACGATAAAATCTCCTTTCATCTTTTCATCGATTCAATTATGTCAAATCGAAAAATATAGCTGTTATTATTGACTTTTATTAGATGAGTGAGACTGTGAGACTCAATAACGACTATATTTTCAATTTTAATTCCTCCTAAACAAGCTATATATTGTTTTGTATAAATTTTTGGATCAGCTTATGGAAGAAGAATCGATATGTAAACTCATGGATCGCGAAATCAATGCATATCCTGAAATGCTATTCTCGTGATTTACAACGCATTTCATGTTTAATAGTTAATATTTTCTAACGGCTGTTCAGAAAAGTCGAGAAAATATGGCATTAAAGTATGCCAAACATACTTTTAGACATATACTATTTCGTTCCCTTTAAGTGTGGGAATGACGAACCAGTTGAAAAAAAAAAAGAATTTTTTTAAGGCGGCAAGATATGATAATTATTTAAAAAGAAATGAACCAATTGATATTTTACTAGTTATGGTATTAAAAAATACAATTTTATTTTATTTTATATATATATATATATATATATTGGCCTACAATTGCCTCGTTCTATATTAGCCTATTGGGTAAAGATAATGATGGATAGAATAATAACCCTGCAATTAATTTATTTGGGGGTCAAATGAAGCATGTCCATAGATTTGTTAGTAGGTATTGACCTTAGTAACTAATCAGACAGGTAGACAAGTTAATGAAATTTAAAATTTTATTCAAGCACCATAAGAAAATGAAAATTGTTTTTAGGGTTTATCATCAAGACTGATTTTTTTTTTATTTTTTTTTTCACTTAAGCGCAATGAAAATCAAGATTTTTTCTAGAGTTGCAAATCGTAGTCGTAAAATATGTTCATTTTGTATATTAATCTAAAAAATGTTAAATATCAAATTGACAAATCTTAGACGTAATCACGAGGAAATGATTGACGATTTCTCACCATACGTCAATTAATTGATTTGAAATAATAAAAAGCCTATCATAATATTGAATAAAAGAAGAAAATATTAGTCACAACACTAGTCATGGCAATGGGCCGGCCGAGCCGGCTCAGCCCTTTTTATTTATGATTAGTGGGCATTAAGTTGACATTTTTATTTTTCATTGTTTAAGCTTAAAATCACTGTGATTGTTCATAGAGCAGCATCTTCTCGAGATAAAGCAATAAAAACAAAAAAAAAAAAAAAAATTGATTCCATGGCTTGCTTTTGCTTTTGGCCGCATATTTACATTTAAAGAGCTATTTTAGTCCCTGTTTGACGTCCATTAAAAAGATTTTATTTTATTTTAATTTTTTGAGAAAAATGAGTTTTGGTATTGTATTTTTTGAAAAATGTGTAGTTAAAAAGTAGGAAAATATTTTAATTTTACGTGTAAAATATTTTATTGTGAGAACGTGCGTTGAAAACAGGGGCAGATCTAGGGACGGGCTGGCCAGTGCTACAGCCCGTCCCTTCCAGCCCAAATGCTGAAGAAAAAAAATTTTATGTGTGAATTTTTTTTTCTTTGCATATTAGTCCGTGCTAAATTTTTTTCTGGATCCGCCACTAGTTGAAATTGAATTTTAGAAGAAAAAAATTTGTTTTTGGAAAATGATAGACAAAGTGGGTTAATAATCTACCCTAGCAATGTACACCGAATGAAAGTGAGCTTGAAATCGATTTTATGGATATTTTCTTCTCCATTTTCCGGTCGGAAGTGCATGATACATGCAATTATGATAAATGCATGAAATATTTATAAATCTGAGATCGAATTGGATTGTATAATTTTTTTTTTTTTTAACCATTTTGGGCCGAGAAGTGTGTGATACATGCACGAATTGACTTACAAACATGTAAACATCAAAATCTTAATTGAGTCACAATCACAATAAGTTTGAGATCGATTGTATGAATATATTTTCTCCATTTGTGCGCACTATACATGTAGCTATGATAAATTCATGAATTGACAAACTATTAATAATTGGTGTTAGTTAAAGGAACATTTTCCGTAATTAAACAAGTCGCAATGTTTTGGGACTTTTTCCAAAGATGCAGCGTGAATCAACGCGATCTTCCCTTTTTTCACATTGACAAACGTTATTTACTTTATTCACTTTTTTTCTTTTTCTTTTTTTAACAAAAAGAACAAAAGAATTGACTTATTCGATCAAAAAAGTCGTTCTTTTAAAATGAAAAAGAGGAAATAGATTTTGGTTTACGTGGAAAATACAGATGTGATTGGCTTTGTGATATACGGTCCCGATTTATCCTTTGGCACATTAAAAAAAAAAAAGGAGTAAGCCTCTGTTTAATGATTACTATAAAGAGAAATAGTAAAAAAAAAAATGATGTTTTGAATAGTGATTTTTTGAAAAATATATGGTTAAAATGTAGAAAAAAAAATTGAACTTACATGTAAAATATTTTATTACGTGAATGTGATTGAAAATGAGTTCGAGAAATAAAGAATTTTATTTTAATGAGAGTAAGAAAGCGGCTAAATGAGAGCGCAGGTGAGACAATAATGGCCTACAGCATGCTCCGAGCATTTGACGATAATACCCCTTTCACCATGGTATATTATTGGATGCTCGAAAAGAGCAAAGTTTTTAGTGGAAAAGCTTGTCAAAATCATTTTGGGCACATGCAATCTTTCCTTTACCGCACTATTTTTTGATTCTTTCATGGCATGCAGTGAAAAGTCTAGCATCTAATGATCATATACTATCACCTCGTTTGACAAAACTTTGATAAAGTTTTATCAATATTTTAACTCATCAAATTTCAACTTTAAACGTAACTTTCATAAAATTCACAATTTTTATCAAATTTTTATACACATATTTCATCAACTTTATCAAAATTTATTAATATTGTTATCAAAAACTCTGTCACATAGCAGGGTCGGAGCCAAGATTTTTTGTCGGGGGCACAACTTATCGATGTTGAACGTCAAGTTTTTGTCATGGATGTAATGATAATAAAAATTTTAATTCAACAATACCCAAATTTCAGCAATTTCAATATAATAACACCCAAACTTCATCAATTTCAATTCAACAATACCCAAATTTCAACCATATCTACTCAGCAGTCAACATTCGGCAATAACCAAATTTCAACAATACTCAATTTCAATTCCATAACAGACAATAGTGAAACTCTACTGCACATAGCACACAATAATACCCAAAATGTAGTATTAAAAAAAAAAGGAACAAAAACATCTCAACTAAACATAGAAAAAGGAGCAGTTCTATCTATGGAAAATATTTAATTCATAGTTATGTTAGGTCTTTCATATTTGTACAGACCAATACCTAAAGTTAGAGTTGAAAAGTAGGACCACGTGCAATTTTATCAAAGAACAAATCCATTATCATCTCAAGCTACTATCACCAATAAAGCAATAATCCAATTGTTAAAGAAATTAAGAAAATACCTGATCCGGGCGGAGAGAAGTCACTGCAGAGGCGAACTGGCGGAGGCTAGAGAAAATGCCAAATCGCATAAAGTGAGGATATATTGATGAAGCCAACCCTATCACAACATCCAAAAGCTAGTATTTGAGACACAAAGAGAAGAAAGAAATAACAACAGTAAAAAAGTTGTAGTGACTTCTGCGCGCGTGCGATTGTGAGTGATTTCAAGGGAGAAAAAAGTTTCAGTGACTGCGTGCGTGCGTGCGATTGCGAGTAAAAAAGTTGCAGTGACTTCAAAGGAGAAAAAAGAAAAGTAGTAAAATCTTCTACCTTCTGCGTGCGATTGCAAGTACGAGGCGAAAGCTGCGAAGATGGGGTGGAATTTCTGAACGGCAATTGTTGAGTGGAGGCTGCGAAGATGCCGGAGTTGATGTGCGAACGAGGCTTCAGGCTGCGAACATTGCAGGTGGAGCAGGGGAGCAGTTGTCCAGAGGATGGAGTTGTGATTTGTGAACGAGGTTTAAATTTTTGGAATTGGGCTCAAATTTTTTGGATTTTTCTCTTGGGCTGGGACAGTGGGACTTAGCCTATAACTAAAAAAAAAAAAAACTCGAGCTCAGAAGTTCAGGGTGGGCCTGTGTCCACCCTGGTCCTTACTGGGCTCCGCCCCTATCACGTAGGCTTTATATGGACTTGACAATGCATTGATTTATTTCAAAACATAAACCTTTCGGCATTATTTTTTTTTTATTTTTGTATTTGTTAAACATATAGTTGTTTTCAATTTTCTATATGTCTAAGAATATAGAAGATTCCATATAGTTGATCTTAAGTGCTTGTTTGTCTCCCATTTTGGGAAAAAAAAATAGAGTTTTGAATAGTATTTTATGGAGAATGTGTGGTTGAAAAGTAAAGTAACTGTATTGGTTTGTGTGTAGAATATTTTATTAAGTGAATATGTGGTGGAGATTATTTACTGTAGCAAACAATGTTTGATAAAATAGATGACAAAAATGGCTAAATTTATGGACGGCGATTTTAATTTTTCTTCTACGCGTTGCTATTGGTAATAAGCATTTTCTGAAAAGGGTAAAATTTATCTTTAAAGGATACTGATAAACGAGAAGATATGTCTTTTGAAATGTTTTGAATTTCTTGAAGCACATTGTTGTAAAATTATGCCCATGTTTGGCAGCAATTTTTTTGTTTAGAATGAGTTTTGAATAGTAAATTTTTGGAGAATATGTGGCTGAAAAGTGGAAAAAATTTATGTGAAAAATTTGAGAGAATCTACTATTAAAAATGAGTATTAAAAAAAAGAATTTTATTGAATTGTTGTCAAACAGGGGCTATATACTTTTTCACAAAAAATAAAGTTGGATCCAATTGGCTAGCTGAACTCAAGTGTAACAATGTGGTATTTTATTGATTTAGTTGATTTGGGCTTTTGCTTAGGGGCTCATTCAGCAATCGAAGGTTTAATTGGGCTACGTCGAGTCACTTGGAGCCTGCTTGTTCGTGGATTTTTAACATAGGGAAACTTTCATTAGTAAAAAGTATGACATATTCCAAATCCAACAAATAAGGTTTACTTTTTCAAAAATCATATATTAATTTGAATTTCTTTATTAAATAATTAATTAAAAAAACATTTTATTAATTAAATATATTATGGTCACAATATTATATAATTTATGACCACAATTATGTATTAGTCACAATTATAGACGATCAATCACAAACAACAAATTTTACAGGTCACGATTTATTTCTCGACTCAAATATTAAATAAATTAATTGGTCACATATTATTTTTTTGTCACAAATCAAAAATTTTATGAGCACAACTTATTTCGTGGTCACAAAATATCAAATTACTTGGTCACAAATTATCAAATTATTAGTTACAAATTAACAATTTTTTAGGTCACACATTATTTATTTCATTAGTCACATACTGTTTATTGATCACATATCAATCAATTTATTGGTCACAATCAACTAAATTATACGTGACAACCACCAACATTTGTGACCATCACTTCACCACTACCACCAACCGCGTTGCCACCGAAACCACCGCTGCCAAAACTATCACCACCACCTCCTGGCAACAAAATCATCGTTTCAAACACAGCACCCAACGTCACCACCATCACACCAAACCGTCAACATCACTATCACCACCTAAATACCATTTAACCACAGGACATCACCACCACCCTAAAACTACTAAAACATGGAAACAACCAACACCCATCCAACAACCAAAAAAAATCCTCATCATCACCATGATTTGCGCCGCTACAGTCCAATCTACGTTGCTGCAACCACCATTTAGATCGCTACAGGTGCAATCTGCACTACAAACTCTCTGCGCAGCACCACTATTTAACAATATTGCCGCTACAAATCACCATCGCACAACACCGTATGCACATATCGCCACCTCATCACCATAGATTTCATCATTTTTTCTATCACACACAGAGATCACCATTTCGTAATGATGCAGCGCCCTTGATAGCGTCATCGCCCCTCACATCACAGACCACCTACTACATTAGAATGGATCGAGACGGCGCTGCAATCAAACCGACAAACAAAGCAAAACTCTAGTAGATCGGCTCTACAACAGCGAGCAACATTCACCGCTGTGAGCTTGGTACCATGCCGGTGCCGATGCCGATGCCGATGAAAACGACGAGAGAGATGAGAGGTAGAGAGAATGAAAATTTATGGTTTGGGGAAATGAGGTAGGGTTGTTTATAAATTAACTTAATTTTATATTATTATTATTATTGGATTATCATCTGATTTTTGTATAAACAAACTTTAAATCTGATTTTTAAAATTGTAACTTAAAATATATGTTTCCGTGTAATTTGCACTTTAACATATTTTAGACTCCAAGTACGTACGTTTGTGGTCCATATCCAGATTCTTCATTGGAAATTGACATAAGTAGCAAATGAGGCCAATATAAAATTCTTCACACTTCTGAGAGCACTAGTGAGAACATTGTATGGTAAATGTTATCGAGTATCTAGTTTAGCAGTTCTTCAACCGGTTTTCTATTATCCGGTTAACACCATGCAATCGAACCGAACTTGGGTCCGCTTTTCCATTTTATTGACCGAATCGAGCGGCCAAATTCAATTTTGAGAATATTGTTCATAATGTTCATAATTAAACTATCAAGTTCTATGGAATTGTAATATTTATTTGTCATTATTTACTTTAAGAAAATGAATGACAACTCTTGACCTAGAGCAATCTAAAATCCGCGACTCTTTTCCCTATTTCATAATTTCATCTCATCTAAGATGTCAACTTCAAAGAAGTCTTTAGTACTTTATGAACGAGGGATAATGAAAGTCTAACCTTTTATTAGACGTAATAATTTAAAAGCTAATGTTGCTCCGAAGTTTAGTCGCGTTAGATTATCGAACTATGCATCTCTCGTCTAACCACTTGGATCTGAATAGCTATAACAACAATTAATTTGAACAAATTAAGAACATAATTAGCAAAAAAATCAGTGAAATATGTTAGCATAACTAGATTTATTGAAAAAACATTACAACAATAAAAGAAGCTGTGGTTTATGTTATGAACACAACTATTTAAGGTAGCTAGGTAGGTTAAATTAAAACATTTATATTTCATATTTTTGGATTGGGAACACTAGACTCTATATCAACTTCTTCGTCATCGACTGTTTCTATTTCTGTTTGTGGAAGAAAACTTGGAGCAATAGCCATTATGTTGCTACTATGATCAATGTTTATACTCCTGATGCTTTCTGATGCAATGTTGTCCGTTTGATCTGCCTCTTTAAAGCACTTTTTTGGCACAAGTTGACTACTCTTTTTCATTTCTTTGCTTTTCCCCCATATCACTGCATATAACCCTAACACTATTATCGCAGCTCCTATCACGCTGAAAAGAATACACAAAAAATCACCATCCAAACTTAAAGCATCAGATTCTGTTATTTGGCTATGATTAAATTAATACAACAAAAATATGCACCTTCCCAAGTGTAATTTCTCGTTAAGGAGTAAAGATCCAGCAAGCGCAACGAGTACGAGCAACAGAGGATTAAAAATGGACACAAAGAGTGGGCCTCTCATCTGAACGCAGCACATGAGGCATACCCACATTAGTCCTGAAGCCACAATTCCCTACACGTATAGGCACTTAATAAGAATGAGTTTTTAACCACAATCAAAGACTAAACACCTAGAATGTTGATCATCTCACAGACTAAACACCTAGACCCATGTCATTGATTATTTTAAGTATTACGGAAATCAAGGGCCAAAATGTTGATCATCTCACACAATATCAATCAAAGTGTACCTGTAGCAAAACTGGTCGATATATTGCATACCAAGTTATTTGTATCATACGTACCATGTAAGCTGCACTGAAAAGTCTGAGATTCCAGCCCAACTTCCATTGGTTCCAATCTCTTTCCATTGAAAGAGCATATATAAAAGCTTGCATAGTCCCCATTACTGATACGAGAGCAGTACTAGAATAGTGACAAGGATATACCTTACTCATTTTGGCCTGTCGTCATCACAAGAAATGTCCCAAGTTTCATGACAAAACTAAATTACTATTAATCTTATTAATTTATAAATATAAAAATATTATTTTTAAGATTCACCTGAACAATCAAAGAAAATGCAACAGTCACACAACTAGCAAGTGCTAACAAAGGACCCAATATTTGATTGATGGGCGTTTTGTGAGATGCTGTCACGTGTCCAACTCGATGTTTGTTATTTTCCAGAAGGTCTAAATGGATGGACCATATATTAATTTCGCACCCCTTGTAAAAAGTCAGAAGCATTGCCCCTCCTATGCCCATGAACGTTCCCACTACTTTCGCTTTGCCTGCCTTCGTGTTCAACCCCAATTTCTCCAGCCTAATTGCAAGCATATACACAATTTTTCAGTTCTAATCTTCATAAAAAGGAAAAAAAATTCTAAAATATTAAAATAAAAAATAATATCGTACCAACGCACCTGAAGAGTATCGCGAGGATGAATGTTATGGCGGGAACGAGATTGGAAATAGCTGCAGCGAATGTGGCTGAGGTTAACGCTAAGCTCTCTGCATATAGATTTTGGGCCATTGATCCCCTGCAGTTTAATTGAAGATTAATGGTAAAAACAAAAAGAAAAATAAGAAATAATTGATAATTAACAAAATTTGGTGATTAAGTGCCACGAAAAACGGGTGATTTTTGTGTAGATCAATTATCATCATAATATAATAACATAAATATAATTCAACAATAATACAACGCAAGCTTCGAGAGTCTCCTCTACATGCAAGTACTTTCAACACTATATGACTCAAAGATAAAATTCATGTAGTTCATAGGTGGTTCTCCTTTTAGGGGCACGACCACAGGGAGTAAAGAACGAGTCTTTCATCGAGGTACCAAAATATAAAAAAATAGTATGAAGTGTAGACGTCGTATATTTCCAAGTTGTGTTTTCCATTTTGCATCATACAAAGAAATCACCATCCCTTTTGTAGGGTAAAAAACCTCACTACAATGAATAATAGTGTTTTAATTTTGCATTATAACAGCACATTAAAAATAAAGCTGCAATATTGCTTTAAATCTCTTGAAAAGGTCAACAGTTGAAGTGTCAATCAAGCGGCATTAACAGTCTTGAAAATGGAAATTTTAATACAACAGTACAGAAGAGGGCTAAAATGCTTCATTAAAGAAGTCAGATTGATATAATGAGAAGCAAAATTTGGTTTGGCTTTCTCTAGAAAATGGAATTCTGAGTAGATAATTGTAATACAATTTACCATGACAGCTCAAAATTAAATTAAACCTGTTCATACTTGATGACTAAAGGGATTAACATCAAATATTAATCTGGCAATTAACCCACCCAAATAAAGCAATGAGAAATGCTTGGAAGACAATCTTCCAAGTCAACTTTGGCCTTTTTTGCCTGCAGAGATTGGCAGAAATATCAGATATTTATCGTAGCAACAGTAAATGAACATGTTTTTCACTGTTACTGATCAAAGTGAAGAAGTTTCTCAAAACTTTGAGAACTGAAAAAAGTCAGTAATTTATCGATTACAATTACCATGCAGCGCCCGCAGGGTAACTTTTGAATATCCTGAAACTGATGAATTTATATGTCAATACCTTTCGAGGATCAGAGCAAGAGGAAGAACAGTAAGCGCAGCAAACATGAAGCGGTAAGCCACCAAAACCTTCAAGCTCAAACCACGGTTCGCGGCTAGTTTGTAAAAAACATTAACTCCGGTTAATCCTATCTGTACACCCACCATCATTATCGTTGGCTTCAGTCCCTGAACTATAACACAAAGTTTCCCCATTATATATTGCATCCTAGCACCCTAATGTGTGCGTCAGTGTGTGCAATGAAAGAGCAAAATCAAGAAGGCAAGAAGATGAAGACTTCTTGCTTGTGTGTGTTTTGAGACTTCAGATTACTGAGGGTTGAGAGGTATATATAGTTGGCTGAATGTGTAGAAAGTGCATGAAGTTGGGGGTGGGGTGGTGGGGGTTATTTATTGTATTCAATAAAACGAGGTTTTGCTATTTTCCGACGTCAGAGAAAGAAGGAGAATAATAATGTTGTTGTCTGAGCATGGAGGATTTGAAACGGTGTTCGGCGAATGACCTTTTTTGACTCCACAAAGAAGTGTTTAGGCTGCACTTATCATTATTTTAATTTTACAGTAAACATTTTTCTTCATTAACAATAAAATTATAGTAAAATATAAGTCCCTGTTTAGTTTTGCAAACAACAAAATATGTCGTTGAAAAGTTAGGATTCTGTATTATTAAAATTAACTGTTGACTTTGACTTAAATTTTTAATAACTTTTTAACTAAACCAAACATGGCCTAAATTCATAATCCATATTACGATGATTTTATCTTTCTTAATTGAAAATATTGTGATTTTTTTCTAGAGGCGGGTCAAATAATTTGGAGCCGTTAAGACAATCGTTATTTGTTAGGAGTTTTTTTCAAGAACGACAAAAAATTATAGAGCGAATGATAATTGACAGAAATTCTATCGGCGTAATTAATGATCTGATTGAAATCAATATTTGATGGTAATTAATGACACACGATTGTCAACAATTATCAATTGCAAAATTGTCGATGATATTAATGGAAATCAACTATGGTTCTTCAGTTGAGCAAGTACTGAGGACTTCCAGTTCCAATGAATCGATATCTTAAGTTACTGTCTATCTCATCTAATACTTAAATAAACTCTAATTTTTTTCACAATTTATAGCAATTTTTTTATTTTTGATTCTAATTTGTTGTCTGGATGTAAGTTATAACACATCACAAACGAGATATTGCCATGTTTACCAACTTTCGATTAATTGAATTTATTAATCCAGTTTATCTGAATTATTAATCAAAATAAATAATTAAGCAGAATTTAACAATTTCCAGCTGTCCCAAACAAAGACTTTAATTGTGGTATTAACTGTACGTCACCGCCTACGTTGCACTCCACCAAGGTACCGAAAGAGCATTAATTAGCATGGAAAGAATATAAAAATAAATGCAGTTGTTAAATAAGATGACAAAAGTTCGAATTTCAGCTTATAGCTTCCCTATATTCATTACTTTTTTTTTTTTTGATACCCAAGTTTCCCAACTTACACCAGACTATATTTTGGACCACCCAGAATCGGTGGCTCAACTCTGAGCGAAGGTAAATCGCGGATTATGCCCAATCAAGTCAGTATTCATGCAAGCTTTATACTCCTGACCCCAAAGGAGCCCTCCTACGCCGGATTTACATCACCAAACTGCTCCACCACATGGTTTGGGTATTACAACACTTGACTGCTCTGTTCGTGATTCGAACTCCCCACACTGGGGTTGCAAGCCTAGCCTTGCACTGTCTTTGCCCTCTTGGATTCTTGGATGTGCCCCGGGGCACCCCTATATTCATTACTTCATTCTTGCAAAGCTTGTCGGCAATAAATTTACTTACTTTTACTTGCGCAGAAAGTATTTATAAAAGATTTCAATTATAAATATTTAAATAAAAATTAAATAAAATGGTCAGTAATTATGAATTTTTAGAAATTTGTAAATAAAAAGTAACTTAAATTGACTTAATTTTTACTTAAAAAGCATGCATACATTAGGGAGCATTTTTAAACGATTTAAATTATATATATAAAGGAAAAATGAATAAGATGACAGTACTTATAAATTTTCCTAAATATGTGTATAAAAACTGATTAAACACGCACGTGCTTTTTTACTCTCATGATAATATTTCTACAAAGGTCAAAATTACTTTGAATTATTTCATTCCTTTTGTCCTTCTCTGATCTAAGAATTATATTTAATTATCCCACTCAATTGTTGAATTATATTGCATTCCTCTAATATTAACCCTCGGTTTCTTTTAGCTAAAAATCTAATTTTTAGTATATTTTGATAAAAGTTGATAAAATTGTGAATTCTATGAATGTATGATTGAAAATAATCTTGAAGAAAAAAATGGGGATTAGACAATGGCTAAGTTACTGCAAAGAATATAGATAGGTCTATTCATATTTTACTAATTCGTTCATTAAATCAAAACACAATATAAAAGTCTTGTACAATCTAAGGGTCCGTTTGATTGTAAAAATGGAAAATGGATGGAAAAAAAATGTTTTATTCGGAATTGATTTGCCTAGAAATTGTTTTATTCGGAATTGTAATTAATTGTGTTTGATTGGTATAATTTTATATGGAATCCTCGACTCGAGTTTCCACTGTAGGATTGAGTGAGGTGACGAGAGAAGATTTCAAAAATCCTTGCTACGCTCCATAGATGTTCGTACGATTCTTGTGGATTGTCCGTTTGACTTCGTTTTTTATGAAAATTGTCCATTAAAGTAATAATATTTTCTACTATTGGATTTAAAATTTGTTCCAATTGCCAAAAAAAAATTGAAAAAAAAAATAACCATACCGAATATCATTCGTTTGATTTTGTTTTGTATGGAAATTGTCGATAAAAGTGAAATTTTTTTACCATTGTATCTAGAATTTTTTTCAACTGCCAAAAAAAAACTTGGAAAATATTTACCCACCAAAACATCAAGAATTTATTTTCCTCAAAAATGTGGAAAGTATTTTCCCCGAAAAATTTTGCTTATCAAACACTACAAAAGTTGGAAAATGTGTGCTATCAAACGGTGCCTAATATACCAGAAATGTCCTAATTATAATCATAATTAACAAGGTCATTAAGAACTCGCATCAACTTATTTTAGTTGCTTTTATGTTGTCTTGACATAATTTTCACAAAAATATTGATGCATGATGCTAATCAAATTATGCTTTTATCGTCTCCGTGGCATTTTCATGAGAACTTTTATCCTCAAAACTGAAAAGAGAAGTGGAAAACTACGAGCACTCCAAAATTTAACACATTTTTCTCCTTGTGCACTAACATAGAAATGTAAAACTTTGATTTGTATGTTGACTATTAGTAATCAAATTCGAATGTAACTTCACTAACCTAAAAGGGTAAAGCCATACAAATATTTAGTTATTGCATTTGTGCATTGGGTAATCGTGGAACGTTAGTAGTCCCACGTTTGAAAAAGCCAATATTTTCCCAGAAAAGCATTATTAGGTAAAATTACATTAAGGGCTTGTTTGATTGGCCACTCTTTTCCATAGAAAATGGAATCCAAATTCAATTTCCCACTTTTAGCTTGTTTGATGCCTTCTTTTTTTTTCCATAGAATTCATTTTCTTGCTTTTGTCTCACATGTG